AAGAATAATGGTTTATGCAGTTTGTTTCGATTGATAACATGTTCCCTCATCCGTGGGGTTGTATCAGATTTGTATGGATGGTTAAGAAACATCTCTCGAAGTCAGGTTTCTAAATGATTATCTTGTTGCCTTGAGCCAAGTTCAATGTACTTTTATGTATTTTTGGAGTTAATATTAGTAATTGTTGAATAACATAAATATGTATATATAAGTTTACTATATAAATATCTTCCCTTTAAAACTATATAATAGAAAAATAAATATTTAAAACATAATTTTCAAACTTAAAATGATCAAATTGACAGTAAGCACTATTGAAGCTATTTTATTTCATTTACGTAGACACATCGAATGTTATATAGTGCGTGATTTACATCGTATCCAATACTCTTTTTCTGTAATCTCTATGTAAATTCAAAAATATTTTGTAGGTCATAGTATTTAATCTAAAAAATATATCTATTTTAAGATAGAGTCACGATTAAATGCGGTAACTTTGAGTTTGCAGGAAGTGTTAAAATGTTTTTTTTAGGGAAAGTACTCGTCTTAATTTAAAATCGTTTAAAGGGATGAACCTATTGATCTTATTAATATGCTCCAAAAACTAAGGTTCGAATTATAGTTAGACTTTTTGAAAATATTTTAAGAGATTGGTAAAAATTAATTCGTTAGATCAATTGTTCTTTCTTTTAAGACTATAAATGAATTTGTTAAATTACGTAACGAAAGAGCATCTTTAGGCAATGGACAACAATATATTTATAAAGTTTTATCTTCTTGAGATCTAGTTTAACGCATTCTTCATTGAAAGGCGGTTTGAAATGACCTTAAAAATTTTGAGTGTAGAGAAACGAGGTAATTGATACTTATCGAAAATACATTTGACCTCATTTAGGTATCCGTGAGAATGCTATCAGTGATGTTATGCAAGAATATCGATAATTGATTTAAAGATGTACACGGTTATGAAGTAAGATATAAAATTGGATAACGCGGATGTACAGTACTTGATGCTTTCTTAACCAACATCCCTGACCTTTAGCACGGTGATGTAAGCCGTTACTTTCACTGAATTGTTGAATAGAACTGTTACTGCCACGAGCAAAAATAAAGTTGAGTTAAGACATATTTAAAAATATAAAAATGGTTAATTAAAGAAATATTCAAATAATTTCTTAAACCGTTTTTACGTGTTAAATGACAATTCACTTCTATAGATGGATTTAGATTTCTCACGATGAGTTCCAAAATTTATACGTCATTCATTACATTTTATCCAATTGGTGAAGTTATTTCTCAGCTGACGAGTTAAAAATTTCTTGATTTCCTTGACCCACTTCACCAACATCTTTTCTATGTAGGGGGATTTCTATGTTTATGAAGAATTGTATGATGTATCTGCTTCTACTTGTTGGAGTGAGAAATCTTTATTTTTGTTATAATTCTTATTAATTTTCCATTTTTGGATATAATCATTCGTTATTCAGTAAAAGTTATATTAAAGATAAAATTTCAATTCGTTCTTTTTAGATACAGAATTTTAAGAATGCCGGAAGTATTAAAAGCTTAGATATACAGTACGTTACAATAGTTTAAAAAGAACGGCAGCAATTAGAGAATGCACGCTTCAATCGATCGAGAGATAAAAAAAAAAAACAAAATATATAGCGAAACGATCTAAATTTTTTGTTAGTGACGTCGTAGAAATCACGTGACTGTCCGTCTGAACCTGGGTGACCAGAAAACCAGGTCAAGGTGATTTCGGAATGGCATTTAAAATCACTGCTAGTTACGTTAAATGAAGGTCACTTCTTTTATTAGTCGCCGTACATCTCTTATTAGTAAACGACAGTTTTGTAGATTTACACTTTTGTATGTCTCTTGATGACATATATAAATTACGATCTCGTTCCGAGACTAAATTTTTTTTAAATAATTTTTTTTAACTCGCACTAATCTCAAAAATAAATATTTCAACGTTATTTATTTATGAAGTTTCATGCAGATATTAAAATTATCAGTAAGAAGACGAGTCGCATGTAGAGTTTTAGAATTTATTGAATCATCTTTACAGAATGTCAAGTAGTTTTCTTTGATTCTGGATGTTGGCAACTGTCCATAACAGAAGTTTCTTCGCAGATTTCATCACAGATTTAGAAGAATTTCAATGAATTTAGTTTTAGTGATAATTTATATCGGATAGTCAAGTACACAAGGTTAAAGAAGTGATCTTAAAATGTACTGTACCACGGCCTTTATTTTTGCAAGGTCATTATTTAATTCATGACAATTGTCGACCATGAATTTATGAATGGAAAATTTTTAAAGAAAAACTAAATGTTTAAATTCGTTAATCGTTATGTATTAAATCTAAGTTTTAGATATTTTGGTTCTTACAGTTTAGTTTTTGCAATTCATAAATGTTTTTTTTTTTTTAAATTCTATACATGTATCTTTGATGTAATCTAATCGTGTAGTGTACATGTGAAGAAACTGTGTAGGACTATGATTTTATCTAAAATTATTTCGTGTTTTTCATCTTATTTATATTTAATATATTTAAAATTCATTCTGACAGCTTTAAAACAAAATCTTATTGGAAATTTAAATTTAATGTATTTGCGAACGCTCATCAATAAAAGATGTTACACCCACAGATAGAAAATGACAGAACCTGTTTTACACATAGATAACGAAATCTCGATGATGATGCCACATAGAATCTTTCCCTCTAAAGATTCTCGCTGATTTGGAAAAATATTATTTTATTATGAAACTATTATTTTTTGGGATTTTACATTACATAACAATAAATATAGCATTATCCAATCTCAATAGCTACTGAAATGAATTATTTAGCACATATCATTAAATAAATGCGAGTTTGAAATGATTATGATTATTAATTCACATTATTATGCAACCTATTACATTGTCAACACGAACATGTCATTTTACTTGTACAGTAAAACCTTCGATTTTTAGATCTAAAACAATGACAAGTCTATTTTGTAAAAAAGTAAGAGCTGGATATAAAGTTCATTGACAGATAACCACAATATTACATATTTGAGAAGATTCCTATTAGGAGTTCGTTCACATAAACCATCAATCATAGATAAACCACACCAACTTCTTAATCATTATGCTGTCTAAAACTATTATCTGATGGTGATTGAAATTAGTTATGAAATCCAATTAAAATTCTTACTAGTCATTCTGTTTTTTTCTTTTCTTCCTGTTTATTGAAACAGTTATTATTTGATATATAAGCAAGTCATTAATCTCCCATATGTTTTTGGTATTCTCATATAATTACTTTTAACCTTCTTAAAATATTTACATTAATATGTTTGTGGCACCCTTCCATGGAATTTATCAACGGAGGTCATATGGTAATGTTTTTGATTTCGGTCCATTATCCGATTATATCATTTATCCCAATTGTACGTCGTAACTCTTACTTTATTTACTGTTTACGTATTTTCTTTACCAGTGTTAATGTATTCTTTAAGTTATCCTTTAATAAATTTTTGTCCTCATAATAAGAGGACAAATTTACATAAAATAGGAAAGTATCTGAGAAAAATAAATAAATAAAAATTATCTAAGAAATCTTAAATGTAAATATTTTGTTTACAGTTTATATACGTAATTACTACTGTATAACTGATAATTACATGATTTAAATATTCAAAAGTTTTGTTAAATTATTCAAAAAATATATATATATATATTTAAAACTACAGATTTTCTTACGTAAGAAATATTTAAAGATTCATAATGTCATAACTCTAAATTTAGTACAATAGTTCTCAATAAGAATTATTAAAACGACACATCTTAAGCCGATTGGAACGTTTATAAAGCTAGATAAATATTATAACTTAAATAAGCGTATTTAAAATCATAAATATATATTTGTTATAATAAGAATTTAAAATCCATTATACATATAGTGTATAAGGATTTTAGGTTGAATTCATTACTTATTTTAAAACAAAAAATATAGATAAAAAATTAAAATCATTCATTAACGATTATGTTTAATAACTATTTTAAACAATTTTTATGTTTCTATTACATAAAATAAAATTTAAATGTATAATTAAAATAATTGCTTGTTTAAAAATAAAAATAAAAGTTTATATATAAATTTATAAAATATTTTTTGTAGTGATGATGATGATGTTATTGATTTCACTAACGATATTATTGTTATAGAAATTCGGAAGTATTCAAGGTTAAATTTTCTTTTGTAAACGTAGTTAAATAAATGATTGAAATAATAACATCTAATAATTATTCATATATAGCTTTTGATACTGGTTTTTCTATACTAATTGGAATAAAATGCACAAAAAAGACAGGAAATGCTTTATCGTTGTCTTTTAAATTATCTTCTATTGTTTAAACTATAATACATTAATTAAAATTCCACACTTATTATCTAAACATCGTTATTATAAAAATTTGATTCAAATAGTAATTTATTCTCACCTTATTAACAAAATACTTTTAATTTAATTAAATAACACGAGCGGAATGAATTTGGAAAAACATTTAAAATTACAATGAACTGATCATTTTAAATACCTGAATTTATTTATTAAAAATAATATTATTAAATGAATACTACACAAAACTTTCGAGTATTTGACCTCAATTCTTTTTATGTGGGATGATATGCCGATGGCTGTAATGAACCTTTGTAGTGCCTCCTTACTTTGACCTTCTATCGAGCCCTACTCGGTAAATATCACTCGACATATTTATTATTCAGACTTTGTCTAATACTCTACCTTGTATCTGAAACGACTTCAGGCCATTTCGATAATTTAGAAATTTATTCTAAATAGCCCTTTTAAGATTGCACTATACAAAATATTTTTACCAGCAAAACTGAAAAAAAATCGTTTTGTTTTTGAATGAATATTAGAGCTTATTACTGTATTTAAATAAGAAAAAAGAATTAAAATCGATTTTATTTTTGTTTTTAGCTTGTTTCTCTGGAGAATTTCGATGTAGAACCGGGTATCAATGTATACCTCTTCAAAGGGTCCGAGATGGAATTAAAGATTGCAATGATGGATCTGACGAAGGTATTTTAAAAATTTTACAAGTGTTCACGTTAAATAATGATGTAATTTGAATAATGATAGATATATTGAAATTAATTAATAATAGAGTTAATAAAGATATGTATTTCTTGATATCCTTGAAAGATTTTAAAAAGCTTTTTTGTACTTATTATATACTTCTTTAATGTTTTAATGTTTAAAAAATGTATTTATTATGCAGTATTAAAAGACTTAATGAAACAAAATTTTTAATTGTTTAACGTGATTCGAATCTATGAAGTAATTTGTCTCATAAAAAATTAAAATTGATAAACTAAAAATTACATTCCAGATTACTAAGGAATTTAATTTTTAAATATTTATTTGTTTATTCAAAGACTATGTACATTATAAAATAATAATATATGTACATTAGTTAATAAATAATTTAAGTCGTCTGCAAGGATTAAAAGGACATTTATTAAGTGATTAAGAAAGTTGTGTTGAATCAAATTTATATTTTATTTCGATTAATTCTGCAAATATTTGATGTTTCTGTATTTTTATTTTTGTTGTAGCTTAATTAGTCAACAATTAGTATTTGAATATAAATAATTTATTTTTAGAAATACTCTTTATGTTTGTAGTTTTAAAATAATTGTGTGTGTGTAACTGGACTAAGGAAAGATTATAATTAAAATAATTGCTTGTTTAAAAATAAAAATAAAAGTTTATATATAAATTTATAAAATATTTTTTGTAGTGATGATGATGATGTTATTGATTTCACTAACGATATTATTGTTATAGAAATTCGGAAGTATTCAAGGTTAAATTTTCTTTTGTAAACGTAGTTAAATAAATGATTGAAATAATAACATCTAATAATTATTCATATATAGCTTTTGATACTGGTTTTTCTATACTAATTGGAATAAAATGCACAAAAAAGACAGGAAATGCTTTATCGTTGTCTTTTAAATTATCTTCTATTGTTTAAACTATAATACATTAATTAAAATTCCACACTTATTATCTAAACATCGTTATTATAAAAATTTGATTCAAATAGTAATTTATTCTCACCTTATTAACAAAATACTTTTAATTTAATTNATTTAATTAATAAAAAATTAATAAATAAGATGGAAATGAAAATGTTTTGTTTAAGAAACTTATTCTTATTAGTTATTCAATATAAAAATAATCTATTTTTAATACTTATTTTCTCAGAGAGAAGAAATGATAAATTTGTCTACGTCAATGAGAAATATTCAGAGAAACAGGATAACAAACAAGGTAAAAATGATAAATAATATTTGATATTAATGTATGAATACAACAGAATTTGTTTCAGTGTTGGCAGAAATTTTATTTAAAATTTTAAGTACTGTACAGGCATTATAATTGATGAATGATCCTGTTTTAACTGTTATAAATGAATAATGATTTTGCATTGATTATATAATTTTAAGAATTTGATTCGATTTTATAAGAAAACATTATATTTCTAGATGAAATATTTCTATTCATCTGATAAAATTTCTGTTTTTTAAAGTTCTGTTGTTTTGTTTATTGAAAATTTATAATCAATTTTTACATAAACACATCAAACTATAAAATTCTTTTAAATTTCTATTTTGTTAAATTTTTTAACGCTTTTGCTTAATTCTTTATTCGCTTCATTATTCATTCAAAATTAACTAATAATATTTTATAAAATGCAAAAACGAAAAAAAAAAAAAATCCTAACGTAACGACTGCTTGTGGCTTTCCAGTTAGAGCATTTAACTGCTGTATAAGACCTCTTGTGCGGCTTTAAAGAAAAATGAAATGTAACTAACTTTACATTAACAAAACACATTAATTAAACACAATTTTTATTATATTAATAATGGAATTTCTTCAAGTATCAATAGATTCTTTAGAGTCCTACTCTTCTCGATGTTTCAGATCCAAGAGAAGAGAACCAATATTTGGAAACTAATTTGTACAACGATGGCCGACCAACTGGTTTACTTCATATCAGAACTTCTAGTTCGATATCTGATGGAACAACGACTCTGTATACAACAGAATTACATCGCTCCTACATAGATGGAAATTACGCCGAAATTGCATTGAGTCATTCTACACTTATCTATCCGGCATCTTCTCGAAATACTATAATAGGAACGAGTAGTTTACCGCAAGTTTCAAGTGGTACAAAGCGTTACAATTCTCTTACATCGGGTGGAATTTACCAGACAGCTTTAAATGATTTAGTTTCGTCTCAATCTCGATACGTCGAGTTAGAAAAGAGTAATAATTCGGATAATTCTGTCGCAACTGTTTATGGTTCTTATATCGAAACCGATGGTAACCTCAAAAATGTACAGATACGTGCTACGCCTGCTTCTCTGTATACAGGTCAACCTATTGTTGAAGTCACGGGATCTTATATACCTCTACAAAGAAGAAATTCTGTTTTACATATTGGAGAAACACATGGAAGACTCGCAACGTTACATCCAAATCATGATAAATCTGTTATTACCGTTACGGGAACGGAAGGTGCTTTTGTTCACCAGGGTAAATCGGGAGAAACCACATACACTGTTTTTACTGGTACATATACAGAGGGATTTGTTAAGCCAACCACTTATATGTTTTTCTTTGGAAATCGACGATTACCTACTACGATCGAAGCTACAAATTCTCAGCCTTACAAATATGCAAGTTATACATACGATATAAAAAATAAAAGAGATTCAAGCAAAGATATTGTTTTGGATATTTCTGATGATATCGATGTATTTATACCATTGGGTAATACAAGACGTGGTTTGGACCGATCTACGAGTCGACGATCATTAATGTACGGAAAAGCCAAAGTTCATGGAGAATCTTTAGATGGTGTTTTAATCGAAGGATCTGAAAAGTTTTCTGTACAAGGTGCTACACCTGCATTAGGATTAGGATACATTAGCACAATGACAATTACCATAGATCACAATACAGCTACACCAAGGTTTAGTGATCTTAATGTTCGTCCTGATAGCTACCAGACATTAAAAACATATCGAGTTATAAACGGTGAATTTTTGCCTGAAAATACATTAACTGCGGATACGAATGTAAAAAATAATAGAAGAGGAAGGATGTATCATTTTGAACCTACTGCACGGAAAATAAATGAGCAAGGAGGTGCTACTGTAATTACAGATCAATTTATATTACCTCAAGGTGCACATAAAACAACGACTGTTACGGAAACGAAAACAATAACTACTAGTAAACATCAAGCAAAATTTTCGCAAGAAATAAAACCTTCATACGTTCATAAAGATAACAGACCGACTAGAACAATAAAACCTCATTCTCTATTAAAGGAAAATGAACAGTATGTTTTTCAACCCGTTTTCGTTTCATCAACCTCCATTCGAAGAAATGGAATAGTGAGATCAACTTTATTACCATCAAGAGTTTCAAGTTTATCTACAGTTACGCTATTCGGATTTGTCCATTTCACCACGATTATTTCAAGAACTAAATTCGTTTTTATGCCAACAACATCGAGTGCACAAGGTAGAAGTGCTTATCCTCTATCTACTACACACATTCCAATATCTTCGAAAACAACAAAAGCGCCTCAATTTTTCCCGAAGTCAAGCTCATCTTCACAATTTACACCAACTTTAGCGTATGGTACAGACACCAGAGAATTCGTTTCCAAAAAAACCATGTCAACATCTACAATTAGAGAATCTATCAAACACTTGACTACGATGTCAACTTTGACTGTAGGGACGAATTTGAAGACAAGATATGGAAAAGCTAACATAAAACCTAGTTACATAACCGAAACTTATGAACCAATAGCTTCAACAGTTTTCCTGTCAGAAAAAAGAAAACCGCAAACTTCATCAAAAATAAAAGATACGGATTCAGAAGATATTCAAGATCTTTCGAAAATTCTTGATGAGACTATAATGGTATTTGAAGTAGACGAAAAAAAAACTATTAAAGAAACACCAATTGAAACGTCAACTACTTCGTTATATCCGACAGGACTGGTTTCTTCCATAACAGGAACAGAAGAATTAGATGGAATTACTACTCATTGGACTACATTAATTATCGGCACGTATATTAGTGGTACTTATGCTCATATTGTTGAAAGTACTTCTAGTATTTTCTTTACTGTATCTAAAACTACAAGTCCATTAAAACCAACTACAGTTGATGAAACAGTTACAGGCCGATCTGTAAGAGATGACGATATTTGGTCTGCTTCTGATAATTATATTGATACTATAGATATACAGTCATCAAAAGTTGAACCTGAATATATTCTAGAAACACCTGTAGATGACATAAAAGAATCTCAGTACCTTGAGATAATCACATCAGCATTTATTCTACCTGATACAGTAAGTGCTATCAAGCCATCATTTTCTTATTCGATTATAGAAGAGATATCTCAATCAAAGATAATAACGGACGAAACAACAACTAAAGAAGATATTACAGTAAATATAACAGAGGATGTCACAGAGATAACAACTGAAAATATAGAAGATGCCGTTACAACTCCACAGATTGATACTACTTCACAAGAAACTGACACAGAAACTACTGAAGCTTCCACTGAAAGCACTACATCAACAACTCCAAAAATTATCACTGGAGGATTTATTTTACCAGGGATTGAAATTACCACAGAAAAAAATACAATCACAGAATCAAAAGAACTAACTCCAGAAGTCGATACAACCACAGAAAAAGAAATAACAGTACATTTAAAACAAGATGAATTAAGCAATATATCTGATAATACAAGAAAAGCAACTCATACTCCCGATATCATTACAGAGGGATTCTTTCTTCCTGTTTTAACGGGTATTAACAGTACTTCTGTAGAAGAGAAGAATCAGAATAAAATATCAACCTTATCACCATCCGCAGTAAAATCTAACGTAATCACTGCAGGATTTATTCTTCCTTCCAGTGTGGAATCTACTTCATCTCAAGATTTAATTACGCAAGGATTTATATTACCAANTGAATTCTGTAAATTATACATTAAAATATTGAAATATGCCATTTTTTTTATTATTATTCGACGGAAGTTATAAAAGATTCAATGAAATCTTTTAGTCACGAAACATTTTACATAAAATTACATCATATGTATAAACCAAAATTGTTTTCCGGATTACATCATTTATATTTTGTTAAATTCGTGTTAGAAATTTAACAAAATATAAATTTGCTGACGTTGCTTGTATAAATTGAGCAATCTGTATACGTTAATTATTTCATTGTTTTTTCTAATGTTATAATGAAAAAAAAATGCAGAAGTATTTTAAAATAAATTTCTATCCCTATTAGCTAACACGGAAATACTCTATATACATTATTCCAGTTAAGAAAAATTAGCTATTGCTATTTTTGGTGTCATATCGATAACCAGTTATATGGAAACAATCAACAGTAGGCAGTTCTGTCAAACAAACCAAGAATAATGGTTTATGCAGTTTGTTTCGATTGATAACATGTTCCCTCATCCGTGGGGTTGTATCAGATTTGTATGGATGGTTAAGAAACATCTCTCGAAGTCAGGTTTCTAAATGATTATCTTGTTGCCTTGAGCCAAGTTCAATGTACTTTTATGTATTTTTGGAGTTAATATTAGTAATTGTTGAATAACATAAATATGTATATATAAGTTTACTATATAAATATCTTCCCTTTAAAACTATATAATAGAAAAATAAATATTTAAAACATAATTTTCAAACTTAAAATGATCAAATTGACAGTAAGCACTATTGAAGCTATTTTATTTCATTTACGTAGACACATCGAATGTTATATAGTGCGTGATTTACATCGTATCCAATACTCTTTTTCTGTAATCTCTATGTAAATTCAAAAATATTTTGTAGGTCATAGTATTTAATCTAAAAAATATATCTATTTTAAGATAGAGTCACGATTAAATGCGGTAACTTTGAGTTTGCAGGAAGTGTTAAAATGTTTTTTTTAGGGAAAGTACTCGTCTTAATTTAAAATCGTTTAAAGGGGTGAACCTATTGATCTTATTAATATGCTCCAAAAACTAAGGTTCGAATTATAGTTAGACTTTTTGAAAATATTTTAAGAGATTGGTAAAAATTAATTCGTTAGATCAATTGTTCTTTCTTTTAAGACTATAAATGAATTTGTTAAATTACGTAACGAAAGAGCATCTTTAGGCAATGGACAACAATATATTTATAAAGTTTTATCTTCTTGAGATCTAGTTTAACGCATTCTTCATTGAAAGGCGGTTTGAAATGACCTTAAAAATTTTGAGTGTAGAGAAACGAGGTAATTGATACTTATCGAAAATACATTTGACCTCATTTAGGTATCCGTGAGAATGCTATCAGTGATGTTATGCAAGAATATCGATAATTGATTTAAAGATGTACACGGTTATGAAGTAAGATATAAAATTGGATAACGCGGATGTACAGTACTTGATGCTTTCTTAACCAACATCCCTGACCTTTAGCACGGTGATGTAAGCCGTTACTTTCACTGAATTGTTGAATAGAACTGTTACTGCCACGAGCAAAAATAACGTTGAGTTAAGACATATTTAAAAATATAAAAATGGTTAATTAAAGAAATATTCAAATAATTTCTTAAACCGTTTTTACGTGTTAAATGACAATTCACTTCTATAGATGGATTTAGATTTCTCACGATGAGTTCCAAAATTTATACGTCATTCATTACATTTTATCCAATTGGTGAAGTTATTTCTCAGCTGACGAGTTAAAAATTTCTTGATTTCCTTGACCCACTTCACCAACATCTTTTCTATGTAGGGGGATTTCTATGTTTATGAAGAATTGTATGATGTATCTGCTTCTACTTGTTGGAGTGAGAAATCTTTATTTTTGTTATAATTCTTATTAATTTTCCATTTTTGGATATAATCATTCGTTATTCAGTAAAAGTTATATTAAAGATAAAATTTCAATTCGTTCTTTTTAGATACAGAATTTTAAGAATGCCGGAAGTATTAAAAGCTTAGATATACAGTACGTTACAATAGTTTAAAAAGAACGGCAGCAATTAGAGAATGCACGCTTCAATCGATCGAGAGATAAAAAAAAAAAAAAACAAAATATATAGCGAAACGATCTAAATTTTTTGTTAGTGACGTCGTAGAAATCACGTGACTGTCCGTCTGAACCTGGGTGACCAGAAAACCAGGTCAAGGTGATTTCGGAATGGCATTTAAAATCACTGCTAGTTACGTTAAATGAAGGTCACTTCTTTTATTAGTCGCCGTACATCTCTTATTAGTAAACGACAGTTTTGTAGATTTACACTTTTGTATGTCTCTTGATGACATATATAAATTACGATCTCGTTCCGAGACTAAATTTTTTTTAAATAATTTTTTTTAACTCGCACTAATCTCAAAAATAAATATTTCAACGTTATTTATTTATGAAGTTTCATGCAGATATTAAAATTATCAGTAAGAAGACGAGTCGCATGTAGAGTTTTAGAATTTATTGAATCATCTTTACAGAATGTCAAGTAGTTTTCTTTGATTCTGGATGTTGGCAACTGTCCATAACAGAAGTTTCTTCGCAGATTTCATCACAGATTTAGAAGAATTTCAATGAATTTAGTTTTAGTGATAATTTATATCGGATAGTCAAGTACACAAGGTTAAAGAAGTGATCTTAAAATGTACTGTACCACGGCCTTTATTTTTGCAAGGTCATTATTTAATTCATGACAATTGTCGACCATGAATTTATGAATGGAAAATTTTTAAAGAAAAACTAAATGTTTAAATTCGTTAATCGTTATGTATTAAATCTAAGTTTTAGATATTTTGGTTCTTACAGTTTAGTTTTTGCAATTCATAAATGTTTTTTTTTTTTTAAATTCTATACATGTATCTTTGATGTAATCTAATCGTGTAGTGTACATGTGAAGAAACTGTGTAGGACTATGATTTTATCTAAAATTATTTCGTGTTTTTCATCTTATTTATATTTAATATATTTAAAATTCATTCTGACAGCTTTAAAACAAAATCTTATTGGAAATTTAAATTTAATGTATTTGCGAACGCTCATCAATAAAAGATGTTACACCCACAGATAGAAAATGACAGAACCTGTTTTACACATAGATAACGAAATCTCGATGATGATGCCACATAGAATCTTTCCCTCTAAAGATTCTCGCTGATTTGGAAAAATATTATTTTATTATGAAACTATTATTTTTTGGGATTTTACATTACATAACAATAAATATAGCATTATCCAATCTCAATAGCTACTGAAATGAATTATTTAGCACATATCATTAAATAAATGCGAGTTTGAAATGATTATGATTATTAATTCACATTATTATGCAACCTATTACATTGTCAACACGAACATGTCATTTTACTTGTACAGTAAAACCTTCGATTTTTAGATCTAAAACAATGACAAGTCTATTTTGTAAAAAAGTAAGAGCTGGATATAAAGTTCATTGACAGATAACCACAATATTACATATTTGAGAAGATTCCTATTAGGAGTTCGTTCACATAAACCATCAATCATAGATAAACCACACCAACTTCTTAATCATTATGCTGTCTAAAACTATTATCTGATGGTGATTGAAATTAGTTATGAAATCCAATTAAAATTCTTACTAGTCATTCTGTTTTTTTCTTTTCTTCCTGTTTATTGAAACAGTTATTATTTGATATATAAGCAAGTCATTAATCTCCCATATGTTTTTGGTATTCTCATATAATTACTTTTAACCTTCTTAAAATATTTACATTAATATGTTTGTGGCACCCTTCCATGGAATTTATCAACGGAGGTCATATGGTAATGTTTTTGATTTCGGTCCATTATCCGATTATATCATTTATCCCAATTGTACGTCGTAACTCTTACTTTATTTACTGTTTACGTATTTTCTTTACCAGTGTTAATGTATTCTTTAAGTTATCCTTTAATAAATTTTTGTCCTCATAATAAGAGGACAAATTTACATAAAATAGGAAAGTATCTGAGAAAAATAAATAAATAAAAATTATCTAAGAAATCTTAAATGTAAATATTTTGTTTACAGTTTATATACGTAATTACTACTGTATAACTGATAATTACATGATTTAAATATTCAAAAGTTTTGTTAAATTATTCAAAAAATATATATATATATATTTAAAACTACAGATTTTCTTACGTAAGAAATATTTAAAGATTCATAATGTCATAACTCTAAATTTAGTACAATAGTTCTCAATAAGAATTATTAAAACGACACATCTTAAGCCGATTGGAACGTTTATAAAGCTAGATAAATATTATAACTTAAATAAGCGTATTTAAAATCATAAATATATATTTGTTATAATAAGAATTTAAAATCCATTATACATATAGTGTATAAGGATTTTAGGTTGAATTCATTACTTATTTTAAAACAAAAAATATAGATAAAAAATTAAAATCATTCATTAACGATTATGTTTAATAACTATTTTAAACAATTTTTATGTTTCTATTACATAAAATAAAATTTAAATGTATAATTAAAATAATTGCTTGTTTAAAAATAAAAATAAAAGTTTATATATAAATTTATAAAATATTTTTTGTAGTGATGATGATGATGTTATTGATTTCACTAACGATATTATTGTTATAGAAATTCGGAAGTATTCAAGGTTAAATTTTCTTTTGTAAACGTAGTTAAATAAATGATTGAAATAATAACATCTAATAATTATTCATATATAGCTTTTGATACTGGTTTTTCTATACTAATTGGAATAAAATGCACAAAAAAGACAGGAAATGCTTTATCGTTGTCTTTTAAATTATCTTCTATTGTTTAAACTATAATACATTAATTAAAATTCCACACTTATTATCTAAACATCGTTATTATAAAAATTTGATTCAAATAGTAATTTATTCTCACCTTATTAACAAAATACTTTTAATTTAATTAAATAACACGAGCGGAATGAATTTGGAAAAACATTTAAAATTACAATGAACTGATCATTTTAAATACCTGAATTTATTTATTAAAAATAATATTATTAAATGAATACTACACAAAACTTTCGAGTATTTGACCTCAATTCTTTTTATGTGGGATGATATGCCGATGGCTGTAATGAACCTTTGTAGTGCCTCCTTACTTTGACCTTCTATCGAGCCCTACTCGGTAAATATCACTCGACATATTTATTATTCAGACTTTGTGTAATACTCTACCTTGTATCTGAAACGACTTCAGGCCATTTCGATAATTTAGAAATTTATTCTAAATAGCCCTTTTAAGATTGCACTATACAAAATATTTTTACCAGCAAAACTGAAAAAAAATCGTTTTGTTTTTGAATGAATATTAGAGCTTATTACTGTATTTAAATAAGAAAAAAGAATTAAAATCGATTTTATTTTTGTTTTTAGCTTGTTTCTCTGGAGAATTTCGATGTAGAACCGGGTATCAATGTATACCTCTTCAAAGGGTCCGAGATGGAATTAAAGATTGCAATGATGGATCTGACGAAGGTATTTTAAAAATTTTACAAGTGTTCACGTTAAATAATGATGTAATTTGAATAATGATAGATATATTGAAATTAATTAATAATAGAGTTAATAAAGATATGTATTTCTTGATATCCTTGAAAGATTTTAAAAAGCTTTTTTGTACTTATTATATACTTCTTTAATGTTTTAATGTTTAAAAAATGTATTTATTATGCAGTATTAAAAGACTTAATGAAACAAAATTTTTAATTGTTTAACGTGATTCGAATCTATGAAGTAATTTGTCTCATAAAAAATTAAAATTGATAAACTAAAAATTACATTCCAGATTACTAAGGAATTTAATTTTTAAATATTTATTTGTTTATTCAAAGACTATGTACATTATAAAATAATAATATATGTACATTAGTTAATAAATAATTTAAGTCGTCTGCAAGGATTAAAAGGACATTTATTAAGTGATTAAGAAAGTTGTGTTGAATCAAATTTATATTTTATTTCGATTAATTCTGCAAATATTTGATGTTTCTGTATTTTTATTTTTGTTGTAGCTTAATTAGTCAACAATTAGTATTTGAATATAAATAATTTATTTTTAGAAATACTCTTTATGTTTGTAGTTTTAAAATAATTGTGTGTGTGTAACTGGACTAAGGAAAGATTATAATTAAAATAATTGGAATTTTGTATTAGAAACATTATTTTCAATAAGAATTTTTATTAAGCGTAAATTTTATGATTTAATTATTTAATTAATAAAAAATTAATAAATAAGATGGAAATGAAAATGTTTTGTTTAAGAAACTTATTCTTATTAGTTATTCAATATAAAAATAATCTATTTTTAATACTTATTTTCTCAGAGAGAAGAAATGATAAATTTGTCTACGTCAATGAGAAATATTCAGAGAAACAGGATAACAAACAAGGTAAAAATGATAAATAATATTTGATATTAATGTATGAATACAACAGAATTTGTTTCAGTGTTGGCAGAAATTTTATTTAAAATTTTAAGTACTGTACAGGCATTATAATTGATGAATGATCCTGTTTTAACTGTTATAAATGAATAATGATTTTGCATTGATTATATAATTTTAAGAATTTGATTCGATTTTATAAGAAAACATTATATTTCTAGATGAAATATTTCTATTCATCTGATAAAATTTCTGTTTTTTAAAGTTCTGTTGTTTTGTTTATTGAAAATTTATAATCAATTTTTACATAAACACATCAAACTATAAAATTCTTTTAAATTTCTATTTTGTTAAATTTTTTAACGCTTTTGCTTAATTCTTTATTCGCTTCATTATTCATTCAAAATTAACTAATAATATTTTATAAAATGCAAAAACGAAAAAAAAAAAAATCCTAACGTAACGACTGCTTGTGGCTTTCCAGTTAGAGCATTTAACTGCTGTATAAGACCTCTTGTGCGGCTTTAAAGAAAAATGAAATGTAACTAACTTTACATTAACAAAACACATTAATTAAACACAATTTTTATTATATTAATAATGGAATTTCTTCAAGTATCAATAGATTCTTTAGAGTCCTACTCTTCTCGATGTTTCAGATCCAAGAGAAGAGAACCAATATTTGGAAACTAATTTGTACAACGATGGCCGACCAACTGGTTTACTTCATATCAGAACTTCTAGTTCGATATCTGATGGAACAACGACTCTGTATACAACAGAATTACATCGCTCCTACATAGATGGAAATTACGCCGAAATTGCATTGAGTCATTCTACACTTATCTATCCGGCATCTTCTCGAAATACTATAATAGGAACGAGTAGTTTACCGCAAGTTTCAAGTGGTACAAAGCGTTACAATTCTCTTACATCGGGTGGAATTTACCAGACAGCTTTAAATGATTTAGTTTCGTCTCAATCTCGATACGTCGAGTTAGAAAAGAGTAATAATTCGGATAATTCTGTCGCAACTGTTTATGGTTCTTATATCGAAACCGATGGTAACCTCAAAAATGTACAGATACGTGCTACGCCTGCTTCTCTGTATACAGGTCAACCTATTGTTGAAGTCACGGGATCTTATATACCTCTACAAAGAAGAAATTCTGTTTTACATATTGGAGAAACACATGGAAGACTCGCAACGTTACATCCAAATCATGATAAATCTGTTATTACCGTTACGGGAACGGAAGGTGCTTTTGTTCACCAGGGTAAATCGGGAGAAACCACATACACTGTTTTTACTGGTACATATACAGAGGGATTTGTTAAGCCAACCACTTATATGTTTTTCTTTGGAAATCGACGATTACCTACTACGATCGAAGCTACAAATTCTCAGCCTTACAAATATGCAAGTTATACATACGATATAAAAAATAAAAGAGATTCAAGCAAAGATATTGTTTTGGATATTTCTGATGATATCGATGTATTTATACCATTGGGTAATACAAGACGTGGTTTGGACCGATCTACGAGTCGACGATCATTAATGTACGGAAAAGCCAAAGTTCATGGAGAATCTTTAGATGGTGTTTTAATCGAAGGATCTGAAAAGTTTTCTGTACAAGGTGCTACACCTGCATTAGGATTAGGATACATTAGCACAATGACAATTACCATAGATCACAATACAGCTACACCAAGGTTTAGTGATCTTAATGTTCGTCCTGATAGCTACCAGACATTAAAAACATATCGAGTTATAAACGGTGAATTTTTGCCTGAAAATACATTAACTGCGGATACGAATGTAAAAAATAATAGAAGAGGAAGGATGTATCATTTTGAACCTACTGCACGGAAAATAAATGAGCAAGGAGGTGCTACTGTAATTACAGATCAATTTATATTACCTCAAGGTGCACATAAAACAACGACTGTTACGGAAACGAAAACAATAACTACTAGTAAACATCAAGCAAAATTTTCGCAAGAAATAAAACCTTCATACGTTCATAAAGATAACAGACCGACTAGAACAATAAAACCTCATTCTCTATTAAAGGAAAATGAACAGTATGTTTTTCAACCCGTTTTCGTTTCATCAACCTCCATTCGAAGAAATGGAATAGTGAGATCAACTTTATTACCATCAAGAGTTTCAAGTTTATCTACAGTTACGCTATTCGGATTTGTCCATTTCACCACGATTATTTCAAGAACTAAATTCGTTTTTATGCCAACAACATCGAGTGCACAAGGTAGAAGTGCTTATCCTCTATCTACTACACACATTCCAATATCTTCGAAAACAACAAAAGCGCCTCAATTTTTCCCGAAGTCAAGCTCATCTTCACAATTTACACCAACTTTAGCGTATGGTACAGACACCAGAGAATTCGTTTCCAAAAAAACCATGTCAACATCTACAATTAGAGAATCTATCAAACACTTGACTACGATGTCAACTTTGACTGTAGGGACGAATTTGAAGACAAGATATGGAAAAGCTAACATAAAACCTAGTTACATAACCGAAACTTATGAACCAATAGCTTCAACAGTTTTCCTGTCAGAAAAAAGAAAACCGCAAACTTCATCAAAAATAAAAGATACGGATTCAGAAGATATTCAAGATCTTTCGAAAATTCTTGATGAGACTATAATGGTATTTGAAGTAGACGAAAAAAAAACTATTAAAGAAACACCAATTGAAACGTCAACTACTTCGTTATATCCGACAGGACTGGTTTCTTCCATAACAGGAACAGAAGAATTAGATGGAATTACTACTCATTGGACTACATTAATTATCGGCACGTATATTAGTGGTACTTATGCTCATATTGTTGAAAGTACTTCTAGTATTTTCTTTACTGTATCTAAAACTACAAGTCCATTAAAACCAACTACAGTTGATGAAACAGTTACAGGTCGATCTGTAAGAGATGACGATATTTGGTCTGCTTCTGATAATTATATTGATACTATAGATATACAGTCATCAAAAGTTGAACCTGAATATATTCTAGAAACACCTGTAGATGACATAAAAGAATCTCAGTACCTTGAGATAATCACATCAGCATTTATTCTACCTGATACAGTAAGTGCTATCAAGCCATCATTTTCTTATTCGATTATAGAAGAGATATCTCAATCAAAGATAATAACGGACGAAACAACAACTAAAGAAGATATTACAGTAAATATAACAGAGGATGTCACAGAGATAACAACTGAAAATATAGAAGATGCCGTTACAACTCCACAGATTGATACTACTTCACAAGATACTGACACAGAAACTACTGAAGCTTCCACTGAAAGCACTACATCAACAACTCCAAAAATTATCACTGGAGGATTTATTTTACCAGGGATTGAAATTACCACAGAAAAAAATACAATCACAGAATCAAAAGAACTAACTCCAGAAGTCGATACAACCACAGAAAAAGAAATAACAGTACATTTAAAACAAGATGAATTAAGCAATATATCTGATAATACAAGAAAAGCAACTCATACTCCCGATATCATTACAGAGGGATTCTTTCTTCCTGTTTTAACGGGTATTAACAGTACTTCTGTAGAAGAGAAGAATCAGAATAAAATATCAACCTTATCACCATCCGCAGTAAAATCTAACGTAATCACTGCAGGATTTATTCTTCCTTCCAGTGTGGAATCTACTTCATCTCAAGATTTAATTACGCAAGGATTTATATTACCGAAAGTTATTGATGAGAATAATCATACTGAAACATCAGCTTTATTATCGTCGTCATCTTCAGTGAAATCTAATGTAATCACTGCAGGATTTATTCTTCCTTCCAGTGTAGAATCTACCACTTCATCTCAAGATTTAATTACGCATGGATTTATATTGCCGAAAGTTATTGATGAGAATAATCAGAATGAAACATCAACGTTATCATCATCATTCTCAGTAAAACCTGGTATAATTACTGCAGGATTTATTCTTCCTTCCAATGTAGAATCTACCACCTCATCTCAAGATTTAATTACGCAAGGATTTATATTACCAAAAGTTATTGATAAAACAGGCGAACGTGAAAATTCAACAATGGGACAAAAATCTACTACAACCATGAATTTGTTAGAGGAAATTACAACCTCTAGTCGTTTAGAAAATATTATCACCGATAAATTTATTTTACCGACAACAACTGAAACTATAGCAACCGAAGATAAAGAAAATGATGGTACATCGAAAATATCAAAAAACAAGAACGAAAATAAATCAACAGAGCCTGCTCATCAAATACTAACAGATGGGTTCATATTACCAAACATAAAATCGATTGATACAAAACCATCTACTCAAACTTCAGAACCAGTTTTGTTAACTGGTAACTTTTTCCTTCCTAAAAGTATATTTTCAAAATCGACAGAACTTGCACTAGAAAACAAAACAAAAAGCGATTCAGAACAATCATCTATCTTCGAAACTTCAAGTAAAAAAACATCTAATTCTACAGTTGCAAATATTATTACGGAAAGTTTTATATTACCTGATGCAGATAGAGCTACTAAAAGTGAAGAAACTGTGAAAAGTAAGCACGAAAAGCTTATAACAGCAGGTTTTATATTACCAGGAATAGCTCCTTCAGCAACTGAAGTCATCAATTCAGAATCAAATGAATGGCGAGAGATTGAAAACAAGACTCGAGCAGGAAAAAGTTTGAATGCAACTACTGATAATGTGGATGAACTGATAAAAGCTATATCCTATCCAATTACTTATTATACAACTTTAACTTATTTTACTACATATCTTCGAAATAACAAGACTGTTATATCAAGTAGAGAAGACGTATTCTCACAAGTTTATAACAACAGCGAACAACACAAATTAGCAGAAATATCAAAAACAACACTTCCCATTATACCAACTACTACAATGGAATACAAAACTCGAACTCATTATAGTACTAGCTATACGGAAGGATTTGCTATTGTATCTACAAGTGAAGAAACACTTCCTGTTACTACTACGGGAACTCCAGAACTACCAACAGAAGCATTGCAACCAAGTTTTAGTATTCAGATCTATCCGACTACCTATTATACTACTTTAACTTATTTGACCACTGTTTTGCAAGATGATAGCACTTCAGTTATAACACGAGAGAAAATTTTATCTAATGTAGTTACACCTAAATCCTTAGAATCAGTCGCGGCCACTTCTTCAGAGGAAATTCATTTTCCAGAAGTGAAAAGTAAAGAAACTGAAATAAGTTCAGAAATTCTTACTACTTCGCCAGCAGTTATTACAGAATCTTTGCAATCTTCCAACAATTCGCTTTCTTCCGAAGGAACTGTTTCAATAAGCAAATCAAACGTTAACATCACAGATGCTGTTAAAGCTAATACAGAAATCATACCATCCATAACTAAACATTACACTACACTAACTCATTACATTACGTTATTACGCGGAGGTAATGCAATTGTTTCTACTAGATTAGAAACAATAACTAATACAGCATTAAATGGACATTCAACTGTTACGCCGGAATTGATATCTCCAACTCATACTAAATCTCCACCACTAAAGACTGTATACACAACTTTAACTTATTTCACTACATTTTTAAGAGATGGCAGTCAAACTGTAACTAGCAGTAAAACCACAATAACTAACATTTTATCTTCTACAGGTGACGAAAACAAAACTATAGCGCCAAGTACCGCACGACGCACTACTCTTTATACAACTTTAACTTCCTTAGTTACTATTTTAAATGGAGATAGTTCATTAGTAAACACTATTTTAGAAACGGTTACTAACGTTGTAGATAAATTACAATCAAAATTTAGTATTATACCTTCTGCTGTTACTAAAACTTATTACACAACATACACTTATTTGACTACATTTTTACACAACGGAACACCTTCGATAAGTACTCGAAAAGAAACTTCTACTAACATTGTAACAGAAACTGCCAAAAGTGAAATTAAACCTACTAAAGTAGCTAAGTTAAAGGAAACTGAAATAACATCTTATACTACTTTCACATATTACACTACATTTATAGTTAATGGTCAGCCTTCTGTTTCGACACGTAAAGAAACAGTATCTAATGTAATTACATCATCATTACCAAAAGCCACAGCTGTCGTTCCAGATGAGGTAATAAAGCCTCAAGTGACTTTACCAAACTCCATCAATTTGAAAGAGATTCTAAAAAGTGCACTTGTTACTCGTTACACAACATTCACCTATTACACGACTCTCTTTACAGACGGAAGCAGCGTTATATCGAGTAGAACTGAAGTAGTTTCAAACGTAGCAACTGGAAGTATCAAGCCTCAAGACTCAACTAGTAGTACCAGTAGCGAAACTGATTTACCGACTATTTTACCTTCTCCGTCGAAAGTAATAGAATTAAAAACGTATTATACAACTCTAACATATTACACCACATATCTACAAGGTGATAAAAGCATAATTACAAGCAACGTCGAGACAGTAAGTAATATCGTAACTAGTACTCGCGCAAAGCGTGATATTGCTAGTAAATTAAAAATAAAGCCAACTAAAGTCATTCCATTCATTCCCTCACAAAACTATAAGGAAAATAAACCACACAAAAGAAAATTATTACACGTCAGAGAAGAAGAAAATAATCCAGTTGATTTATACGAAGAAGAAAGTTATAGTGATCTTTCAGCTATATCTAATGATGATTTGGTTTATCCTTACGTCAAAGGAAATGGTGGACTCGTAGCTCGTTCGATAGCAGACGAAGATGCTTATAAAGCGGGTTTTACAGTTAATCCAACAACGACTAATGGTCAACCCTATCCTACTGGTCTTATACAATCTGTAGAAGCGAAAACAATAAATAATGGTGTTACAACGGTGTTTGCTACGGAAGTATATGGCACGTTTATTAATGGTGCATATGCTCAAATTGTTCAAAGTGCTGTTCGAATTTATTCTGATCCACCAAACGAAATAGATCGCAGTCATGCCGCAAGCACTCTTGGAACTTATAATTTTCAGTCTACGGCCCAACCGACACCAACTTTACCATCTCATAAAGTTGGACTTGTTTCTTCCATCACTAATTCTCGTGTTAATGATGGTACAACAACCCATTATACTACTAATATTTACGGAACTTATGTTAAAGGTGTTTATGCTCATATAGCACAAACTACATCTTCCGTACAACCTGTAAAACCAACTCAAAATAATTATCCAACAGGTTTAATTTCTACCTCACTCCGATCTGAACTTAAAGATGGAACAACTACAGTTTGGACCACTAAAATATTTGGCACATTTCTCAATGGGTTTTATGCTCATGTGGCTTCTACTTATTCTAATATAATAACACCTACAAAAGCTCAATGGTTCGAAGCTACGCCAGATTATGGTGTTCATTCTAATGTTAGGTCGTCAGAACCTATAATTCAAAATGTTGTATCTAAAACGCCGTCTCTGAGTAACTACAAAACAGGTTTTATCTCTTCTCATGTATCAGATCTGATCCGAAATGATATTACAACTAGATATATAACAAGCATATTTGGCACTCACATAGGTGGAATTTATGCCCAAATAGCTAAGACAACGTCTACTCTCTTATCTGTCAAACCAACTAGCACTCAAACAGCTCAACCTCGAAGCACAGGACTAGTATCTTCACAGGTTAGTACACAAATAAATGGAAATACAGCCACTTATTATATCACTGAAATTTATGGAACTTATCTAGGAAATTTTTATGCTCAAGTAGCAAAAACTTCAACACAAACAAAAATACTTTCCCCTACCACTTCAACTGAACAAACTTCTCAAAAAAATTATAAAACTGGTTTAGTTTCATCTATACCATTAAGTAGTGAGGTTCATGATTCAACTACCACCCTTTACTTGTCAGAAATATATGGTACTTATATCGGTAGTGTTTATGCTCATATAGCAAAATCAACAAGCCGCATACTAACTCCAACTTCAACTCTACAGCCAAGGAGTCATGCAGCAATTTCTTGGACTGAACAACCTCCGTCATCCTCTACTCCAACTCAAAAAGTAGGATTAATTTCATCAACGGTTTATAGTAGCGATATTAATAGTGGAACTACTACTTTATATCTTTCCGAAATTCATGGTACTTATATTGGTGGATTTTATGCACATGTTGCTCGCAGAACCAGCACAGTTTTACCTGTTCTTCCTACTACTAGTTCTCCGTTACCCTCGCCGTCACCTTCACCGTCACCAACACAATCTAATACAAACACAGAAGGACTTATTTCTTCAGAAATTAACACCGAAGTAAATCATCAAACTACAACTCTTCATACTAAACTTATTTACGGAACATATATCAACGGATTTTATGCACATATAGCTAGAAGCACTTCAACAGTCATTCAACCGACTAGTACCAATGGTTTGATTTCTTCTGTAATTAATACTGAAGTTAATGATGGAACCACTACTTTACACACTACTGATATCTATGGAACTCACATTAACGGATTTTATGCTCATGTGGCCCGAAGTTCTTCAACAGTTCTAACCAATTCTGCATCGAATATTATAGAAACAACAGCAGATAGTCAATATAATCAAATTGTCAGTACGCCAGTTCGTTATAGTTATGAGACATTAAAAGAGCTTCAGCCTGCCGATGTTGCTATTAGTCCTACTGTAGGACTAACTGTTGTAAATAATGAACTTGATGGAGCTGCTGATAATAAAGTAGATGGGAATATTACTACTCCACCGAAAGTAGAAGATCCTTTAAAACTTCAAGAAAAGATTATTACAGCAGCAACACCTTACAAAATAAAACTTTCTCCGTCCATAAATTCAGATAATTTATTAGATTTAACAGACAAATTAACACCAACCTTAAATCCTTCGGAGGATACAGATTTTATAATCAAAAGTGAGGCTGTTACTACCTCTACTACAAGTACGTTAAAATCTAGCAAAGAAATAAATCTAGATAAGCAGATCAGCGATGTCACTCAGAAGAGCTCCACCAGTGTAACTGCTATTAAATCATCTAAATCTGAAAAAAATACTAATTCGGTTTCTGATGATTTAGATTACGAAGATTATTATGATTTCGAAAACGAAGATACGGAATCAAAGTTTTCTGAAGCATCTGAAAAATCGATACAATCCACTTCTCCGTTAGTATTTTCATCACAATCAAGTACGTTTTCAGAGATAAAAAGTGAAAAAGAGAAAAGTGAATCAATCGATCATTCTGATTATGAAGATTACGATGATTATTATGATGAATACAGAGATTCGAAGAAAGAAACAAAACATTCTCCAACTATTGAACCAACATCGACTAAAAAAAATCGACCAGCTAGAGCAGGTCAAACTAATCGTCCTCAGCAATACATTAGAAATACAAAGAGCGTAGCAAATGATAAAGACTACGAAGACTATGACGACTATGATAATAAAGATAAGACACCGGCTCCTTCATCTAAGCACGAAGAATTTACTACATCAAAAGGAATTAGTCCAGTTATTAAAATTAGACCGTTCCGCACCCGAGATAGACCTGTATTTACAATTCCTTCTAGGACAACAACGAATAAACCGTCTTTTACTATTCATTTTCGAAGACCAACAAGAACTAGGAGCTTTCAACGTTTCGGGCAGAAATCAGATAATTTGGAAGAAGAAGAACACAAAGAAAGTGACAATGGTGATATAGATGCTAGTGAAGCTATTGTGAGTTCGGCACCTCCACAGGTCGCACCTATTAGAAGATTCAAGCCGACCAATTCGCGTTTCGTACCGAGTAGACCATCAAGGAGTCAGTCATTTGGATTAGGAAGAAATCGAAGACCTTTCTCCGGAAGATCTTCCATACCTTCTCCAACTCCAGCTCAGAGAGAGGAACACGAACATTCCGATTACGAGGAGAACACAACAGAAGAAGAAGATTATAATGAATATGGTGACCATAATGAAAAATCTGAAAATCGTTACAATCGTCCTAGATCAACTCGAAGACCCGTATTTCCTCGTAGGACAAGAACATATGGAGATAGAAGAAGTGCTTCTTTCCTAAATAGAGCAAGATCTAAAGAAGAAGAAGATATCGAAAATGACAATATAGAAGCCTCGACGCCAGAATATAATCGTTTTAGACATAATAGAAATAGAATTAAAAACAGAAGAGGTGGCAACAGATCACCAACACTAAAATCATCATTCAATTCCGTAAATAGGGACGAAGATGACGATACTGACGGTCGATCATCTATATCATTTTCTAGACTGAGAAGTAATAATAGAAGACGGCCGTATAATCCTCGTACTAATAGACAAACAATAAGCACATCTAAATCCACAAACACGTGGACTAAGCCTCCAGTTACTATAACTTCAGTTGTAACAACAGTTAAAACATTACCTATTTATCATGGGTTTAAGACTTCTTACGCTACATTAACTACCACAACACTGGACACTAGCATCATACATCCATCTCAATACAGTACAGTCATTACCGATGGTGTGACTAAGACTCTATTCTATTCTAGAGTCGGAATCCCGGATGTAAACATGCCATTGGATCAATTACAAACAACTATTACAGAAATTATAATAACAACAACTTCTTTAGCCTCCGTGAAGCTCGTCCCCATCAAAATTGGTTTTAGCACTCGTACAGATACAATTACTGATGTTCAGGTATTAACAACTTTGTCTACTGTGTATAGCACTATTTCACCAGAAACTAGCACGCCAACTGCATTTCCACAATATCCAGTACCATTCTTTCCGGGTCAAAATGCAGGAGGTGCAGGAGGTGGTGCTGGAGCAGGAGGAGCAGGTGATATCAATTTATTAACTAATTCTTTCGTTACTACTGAAACTATCACTTCGACTACAGTAATTCCCATAATTTTACGAGGAAGAACTATTATGAGTACTTTGACTACAACATCTACTTACGAATCAACAGTTATAAAAACGACTACTGTCAGAGTCCCAGCACAAGTACCATCTCCAGCTCCTTTCATTCCTCAACAATATTTTGCTTTTCAACCTATAACAACACTTTTAACATTGTATGTAACAGGTGATAAAGGCGAATTAAAGCCTGTTGTTACTACTGTTACTGTTCCTTTTTATCAGCAGCCATTATTCCACACGAAAGTTGCACGCAGTTTGCAAAGCCGAACTTCTGAATATTCCCCTATAATGCATACACAATTGACTAAATTGTCACTTCAAACTAGCAGAGAGATTGATCTCGATACTCAGCAAGATATGTTACTCAGTTCTGGTCTTGAAGAGATTAATGATGTCATAGAAATGACTACTTCGATAAGTACAGAACCATTAGATAGTTCAAAAATTTTTGATAGTTCATCCTCGGAATCAGATGTAAAAACTCTTTTCAAAGGTTCTTTTACTGAAATATACGAAAGAAGCGCCACAGTAGATTTTATATCTTCGGCAAGCCAAGAAAAAGATGATAACCCTTACGGAAATGGGTTAAGATATAATTTCCGTAGACTTCAACAGTTTGAAGATAATTCTGATCAAGGTGGATTCCGACCTGTAAGAGATTTTACAAGAATTCGTCGACCAACCGTACCTAGAGTAACAACACAGTATTATCCCCCCTCTAGAAATATACACAGCCAAAGTGAATATTACGACGAGGATCCTTTTGATGATGATGATGAACAAAAGAGAACTCTTGGAAATTTGCCTCAGGTTCCATCTCCTAAAATAGAAAAGCGTCCGAATTTTGATAGAAGACAGGAGATACCGATCTCACCTGATAGAGGCGGTTTTGTACCTATTAGGCCCAGTGACGGGCGAATTGTAAACGGAAATAATCCCAGAAGAAGGTATAAAGTAGTCAGAGTAGGATCAGGAAATAGACCTACTGCTGCTGTGAGAAGAAAAATTGTTATAGCGAAAAGTACTACTAAACCTTTATCAAATGACGAACTTGTAACTCCTAAAATAGAAAATCCTTTACAACCATTAATAATTGATTCTATTACATCATCATCAAAAGTAATTGTCGAAGCTACAGAAGCAACAGCCGAAGAAAATGTTCAGAACATTATTACTGAACCTACATATTCAAAAACTGAGCTACAACCTTCTAGACGTAAAATTATACGAAGGATTAGACCATCGAAAGGTACCGGAAGCGGAAGGCCTATTATAATAAGACGCACGAAAATTAATGCAGTCGCAAGTAATACAGACCAATTATTAACAAGCACAAATCAACCGTCTTTAGAATCACAACAAATACCTCAACCGTCTTCAACGGAAAAAGATATATCTGCAACCGCCAGAAGAAAAATAATTCGTCTACGTAAACCAATTCAGCCGGGAGGGAATGGAAGAAGAAGAATAGTTATAACTAAAACTTTATCAGGAACAAAACCTACAGATTCTCTTCAGGGTAGAGGCCCGATTGGACTGAAAGATGAAATATTGAACCCTCCAGGTAGAAATCCGTCAATTCAACTTGCAAAATATGCCACTGAATTAATACCGTTAACTTATTACACCACTCTGACTTATTATACAACAATTTTGCATGGTACTGATATCGATTACAGCAGCAGTGAATCAGTACATTCAAATGTTATTCCACAAACCATCGATTCAAATTTGGTCAGAGTGGTTCAAACTCAAAGAGGTTACACAGTTCTTCCTGGTGGTAATTCAATCGTCCATCTCGCATCTAGAACTGTTGGTGACAGTATAACTGTCGTTAATCTTGCATCAAGAGTTAGAATATTTAACGACGATGTTTATAACGGAGTATTCGTACCACCCAACGTCATTAAGCCTACCGCTCCACCCGCACCGCAACAAACTATTGATATCAACAAACTTGCGCAAGTACCAAAGACGTATTATACGCAATTTACGTATTTTTATACGTTTTATGATGGGTTGAATACACGAATGTCCGTCCGAGCCGAGACAACAACAAATGTAGTTTCTCAACCCGTTCCAATTACTGAAAATCATCTTAATACAATCGATACAGAGGGCTACCTCACTCTCCTCCCCGAGAGTATGACTACTAATCTAGGAGTTAGGAGTATCGCTGGTACAACGACTGAAGTGAATCTAGCTTTAAAAACGCTAATTCGTTTCGATGGTATCAGTAATGCTTATGTGAAACAAGAAGCCACCTCAACGCCCGAGATTAGTTTACAACCAACAATAGAGATATCACAATTAACATCCGAAGTTTCTCATCTTCAACCATCTTACACTTCAGTGAATGAATTACTAGGCACCAGTTATTTAGAAAAAGCGACACCCGAGATACCAACAGAAACTCTACCCCAAAATCCAACTCCAACTGTAAAAAGAAAGATAATATTAACTTCTGTATTAAAGAAAGCAAGCGGTAAACTGAGACAAGGAATATTTACCCCAAGACCGGGTGTAAGAGTTGTAGTGAGACCTATCGCTTCTAAACAAAAGTCAGAAACGTTGGACGATTCTCAATCATCTAATCTTCTAGATACGTCTATAATTCCTCCCGGTTTCGAATCATCTACAAATGAAGTGATTAATGTAACACCCATTTTAAGTTCTCAAGAACCATCTGAATCGGATATAGAAACCGCTATCGAAGAAAACATCGCAACAACAACAGAAAATCAGGAACAAACCGAAACTAGTCAATTAACGCGGAAACGTTTGACAGTTACCATCACAAGGCCTTATCAACAAACTGAAAAAGTCAGAAAACATTCACGATTTGTTTTACCATCGAGATTCCAAATAACGAGTCGACCGAGTTTCTACGTTGTTACTAGAACTGGTCTTGGTGGTGTTATTAAAGCCTCCGATAGGCTTTATACCGTTATAGGACGAAGAAAATCCAAAACAGAATCATTTAAATCTAGTCCATCGACATCTACTTATGAAACTTACTCTGAATCTTCTGATCCTGTTTTATTTAAACCTAGTCCATCAACAACTGTTATTTATGAGACTTATACTACTTTAACCTCTGTTCCTGTAATATTTGGCTTAGAAACAAGTTATAGAAATGTACTTCTAACGGCTTCATCAGCTATTACGTCACAGCTGTCGCCAGAATACGATGTACCAACTCCAAATATTGCTTCGACTCACACGGTTGTGTTGACATATTTTACAACTACAACCTTTACTATACCTTTCACTTTTGGAGGACAAACTCTCTACACAACTTTGGAAGAAACTAATTCAAGAGTTTTAACTCAGACTTTAGGTAAGTAAATATTACTATTTTAACGCCACAGTTAACATTTTTACTGATTTTAATTTTAATTTTCTATAGAAATTCCAGCGACATTTATGTCAAGTACAACTAAACCGGTTGCTACTGTAACTTCCGAACAGTATATTCCTACTGTACAGTATATTCCTACTGTTCAGACTGCATCGCCTCAATCTCCATCTTCTGAACTTTCTACCTCTCAAGATACTATTACAAGTGTCGAATTTGGAACAAATGGTCCTACTACTCATCTTATGTTATCTGGTAAATGATATTACTGCTTCTGAAAGTAATTTTGTTATTAAATAAGGAAATATTAATTAAACATAATTTTTATTACTCAATGTAATGTCCAACATTATGTTAATGGATTGAATGCCTTAACGTAATGTTTTAGTTAAATATTTACTGTAATTATTGCTTAAATAAATACCTTTTCTATGAGTTTAACACAATTTATTAGAAATATTAATTTTTACAAAAGATAAATGTCTAATATTTATCTAATTTAGGAAAAGACGGAAGTTCAACTAGATCCATCTTTTATCCTCTTCTTTCTGGCGCTATACCTGGTACAAAAGTTATCATAGTAGGGGCAAATGGAATATCACTAACGTCACAATACGGATACGTACCGGAAGCATCCACTATAACTTGTAAGCCTTTATTCTTGTTTTAAAATTTTTTACAAAATAATTCAACAAAAGTTGAAAATTATACATTCATTTATTATTAATAGTACAAACAAGATTAAAATAGAGTTTAATACATATTTTCCATTTTGATGATATGAAACCGTGCTTTGCAATTCGTTTATGCTTCTAACGCAATAAAGTGCTATAAATTAAGACACTTTATTGTGTTAGAAGCATAAACATATTTTCCAGTCATTTCAATTACTCAATTTTTTTACGATCAGTAATTTTATTATCTTTTCTTTGTCTTAGCTCCGATAACAACAGTCTCCACCACCCGTCTGCCACCACCCGTCAGCTCCGTAACGCCAGAAGTCACCACGTCTGCTACTCCAACTGCTCAATATAGTACATCTTACGATGTCAAAACGTATTTCACAACTTACACTTTCTTCACTACCTTCTTTTCCGGCACGGATTCTATTATATCTAGCACAGAACAGGTTCTGACAAATGTCATCACAATCCCTGTTTTCAAACAAATTCCTTCAACTGTTGCTACTTCAGTATCGACTCAAACTGAAACGGAAACTTTGCCGAGCACCATATTGGAAACGAGCGAGCGTGTGATTACAAGTACTTCGTTCAGCACTAACACATTTTATGCAACTCTTTTCAGCGATACTAGCTCTTTTGTGACACCAATCGAAGAAGTTAGCTCTGAATTATTCACGATCACTGAAACGTACACGATAACTAAAATCATTTCTCCATCTACTACTGAACCTCCTGCTCCAACATCCACTACTACATCAGTTACACAGGCTATTCCTACTGCAGAAACGACATCTGTGATTGTAACAAGTACGTTCTATACAACATATACGAACTTCATCACTCTATTTAAGGACACGGGTTCTGTGGTATCTACTTTGGAAGATGTCGTATCAAATGTGGTTACTTTAACATTACCGAAAACTGTTATAACGGCTATTGTACCTTCGACTACAGAAAAATCTACCCAGTCTACTTCGTCTCAAATTATTCCAGCAATAAGTACGGTAACTCCTGTATTAGCAACAACAGCATCATCTACATCTCAATTGCTTTCTTATACAATAACAAGAACATCTCTAAGTACTCAAACCCATTACATAACGTTGTTTAGTGGTGATCAAACCAGTTTATCGTCAATCGAAGAAGTGCATACGCAATTAATTACAGAAACGATACCGCTGACTATTCCAGCTTCTTCAACTTCGACATCTACTGAAACGACATCTTATACATCAAGTGAAACAATAAAAATATTACCTACTAGCGCTATCATCACTACACCGACAAGATTAACTACTAGATTAACAACGTCCGAAACCAGTTCTAGTTCTAGTCCTACCTACGAAGTACCTTTAGTTCCTTCTGTACGTGCTATGCTAACAACTTACACATATTACACTACACTATTCAGTGGCACAAGTCCTATAGTAGCAAGTCAAGAAGAGGTTGCTACATCATACGTAACCTTTTTCGTACCTGATACAGCTATTCCAAAATCTGTTTCGTCATCAGTTATTACGCCAACGCCAACAGTTGTGTATATCACGACTACAGATTATAGCACTTTTACTTTCTACACAACGTTCTTTAGTGATGATAAACCGGTGGTTGTCTCCAACACTCAGGTCGTTCCGGAAATAGTTGTTTCTACTATTACAACCTCTCAACGGTCGACTGTTCCTTCTCCCAGTGTTCAATCCGTTATTGCTTTCTTATCCACTCACACTTATTATACTACATATTTCAGTGGTACAAATGTACTTGTTACTTCCAGTGAAAGTATAATTACACAGTACGTAACTATAGAATCTACCGTTCAATCTACGCCTACCTCTAGTATCGTAATTTCTCCGACATCGTCATTGCCTACCCAGTCTATAATAGACGTATCTAGTGTAATACACACAGCTGTGTCCGTCGGAAGTCACGTGGAAGAAATTGTGAACGTAGTCACTGCTGTTGGTACTGCTACAGAACCATTACCCGAAACTATACACACAGAAACAATAATCGAAGTTGTGACTGGAATACCAGAAAGTTCCGTTCATATTGAAACAAATGTAGCAGTTAGTACACGTATAGATTCACAAGTCGATCAAGATAAGGTTGTCGATAGTACTGTTATTGTAGTAATCGATGGAACTTCAACTTCAGTTTTACCACACTCCATTTTAACGTCAATTCATGCAGAAACATCCGTTTCAGAAGACAAAACCTCAACAACAACCAGCGCAGGAATACCGATTATTATAGATACTTCTTCAATAGTTAATATAATTGAAACATCATCGACTTTGGTCGTTGAACCTACTTCTATTAGAAGTGAAGTACTTCCAAGTTCTTCAATTCTAACGGAAATAATTAATGGCTCAACAGTAATAGTATATCAAGATTTGGGTCTGTCCAGTTTTGCACCTACTGAAACCGTTCTAACCACTGTCGAAACTGTTAGTCTACCAACTATACCAAGAAAAGCCAATGTAACGGGTGATGTTGATTTGGAAGATACTACCAAATCAGAAACCACCACACCGATTTCCGCCGATGTAATTACTGAAATAAGCAAAGAAGAAACAGAGACAACGGGTGAAACGACACCGCAACCTGAAACCAAACCGGGACTTGTGTTTGAGCTTTCAGATTTACTTGGAGGAAATACAAGCTTAGGTGGCAATATTGGAGACGCTATTAAAGATATTCTTAGTCAAATTAGGGGTAAAAAGAACGACACTGCAGTTGTCGATACGAGCGTTAAAACTAAATCTGAAATAACTACTGTTCAAACATCTGTTTATTCTTTGCCCTCAATTTTATTTCCATTTAATACTGTCGAACCTAGTGTCATAAATAGTACTTTACTAAATAAAACATCAGAAACTCTAATGCCTGTTTATAAACCACCGTCAGCTATTGAAACAACTACAATTTCTAGCACCATAATTACATCGACTCAAACAGGTATCCATACAATTTTCCTTCAGTCGAGCTTTATACCCATAAACTCTACAACAAAAACAACAATATCTACTACTAGCATTAGTACATCAACTACTTCCATTAGTAATACTACTGCTACATCTGACGATCAAAGTTCAAGTATCGATGAAATTTCTTCAAGGTCTTCTATTTTGCCAACTGAACTTTCTTCGGTTCAACCTACTACAGAGTTGGATATCGTAAATACAAGTTCAATTTTCGTTGCTACTAATATTCACTCGGGAATAAAAACAATATTCTTTATTCCAAGCGTAACAACTAAGAAAGATATTCCCTCTAAAGATACAAGTACAGAAATAGCCACTAAAGACACAAGTACAGAAACAACCAGTAAAGATACAACTGATATTGAAATTAAAACAAGCAGCTCTTCGACCAGCTTTACAAAATTAGAAACAAGTTCTGTCCTCCAAATATCTCCAACGTCAGTAATTAGTTCTACTGCTTCAACTAGTACATTAGAAAGCAGCGCAGTTCTCGTTCCTGCAGTTCAATTAGAAAGTAGCTTTACAGATACATCAAACGAAAGTTCGATTAGTGCAACCACTTCAACAAGTCATGCAATTAAAACTTCCATAATTACTGGTATCAAAACTATATTTTTCGCACCTTCTGATTTACCGGGTAAACAGGCACCTGTCCATACAAGTGATACAAGTGATACAAGTGATACAAGTACTTCTACAGTTTCAACAACTGAACCGTCAAGTAAACCAGAAGATGAGGTCAAGGATTCTTTTACTGTAAGTTCTTCAAGGGGACAAACAGTGTTAGGAAAGACAAAAACGGGTGCAACAACTATTTTCTTCCCAAATTCCCATTCGACACAGAATACCCCGGCTCTTTCCGAATCTACAAAATATATAACGAGTGTCGAATCATTTACTCGGACTAAAGTTATTACCACAACTAAAATTTATTACACTCGCGATAGTTCTATTCACGTGACTTCCGTCGTCACTTCAACTTATCCACCTCGGACTTTCGTTACGACTATTATCGGTACAAGGACGTTATTAGGCATCGTCACCCCAAGAAATGAAGCACCTATAATCACGGTACCAAATCCTTCTTTCACTCAGCAAGTCGGATATAGTTTGACACACGGCGTGCAGACTTTATCGACTTCTACGGCGGAAGTCACGACACAAAACACTTTAACTACAGAGGCAAGCACGGAAAGAACAGAAACCAGAACAGATGTTTTAGACAATTTGGTCAAAGACGTCAAGTCAGATAGAAATCCGCGATTAAAGACGGACGACAGATTATTGACAGAACGACCAGTTTATCCCGGGCCCACAACTAAAACACCTGCCGTGGTATGGACGAAAGATGCAGAAGTGACGTGCAATCCGAAATGCAATGCCGATAACAAGGAGACGTGTCACATCGTTAATGGCGAAGGACGGTGCCAATGCCAACCCGGATACGCCAAAAAAGACGGAAGGACGGTTTGCGAAGGTAAGTGTATGCCACAAACCTTAATCCCGTTTATCGGTAAAGTAATTAATAGGCAAAATTCTCCATTTTAGAAATACAAACGTACGTAGTCTTATTGAGAGTGGTGAGGAGAGGAGAACGAGCAGTGAAATTTAATCAAGAATTGAGTAACAACCAATCCGATAAATATAAGGAATTCGTAAATGCTGCAAAAACGGGAGTAAGTGTTTTATTATTTCTTAAATAAATAAATAAGTTCGAACTTAACCGTAAGAATGTATATTTTAGATCAACGAAGCATATAAAGGAACACAAATCGGGGAAGAGTTAATTTCTGCCGACGTCAACGGTATCCTACCTTCTGCCGAACTCAGGAACAACAATAAAGGAGAAGGTGTAGTCGTTAATTTTACCATACAAGTGAGTCGCGACGCGCATCTAAATCCTTCGGTGTTACAAGAAGAGTTAGCCAGGTCTCTGCTTCAGTCTAATTATAGCATCGGTGGCACCGAACTTTACGTTAGTCGACTGATACAGAGTGTCGAGGACGTGCAAGGTTAGTGTAACGAAATTTTTCTAGTCTAAAATATACTTTTTACACCATGTTAAAACGTTGTATCGCCGTGTTACAGTGGCCGATTTCGACGAATGCGATAACGAGAAGCATAACGATTGCGGATCCGGATCCATCTGCATCAATAAACCCGGTTCTTACACGTGCGAGTGCAAAATGGGATTCAAAGACATGGATCCCGATCGCCCCGGTAGAATTTGTTTAGGTGAGATTTTTCGTAATAAAATTGAATAAGTTAACCGATAGATGGCAGCACATATGTCTCTTATTAAGTATTTACGATTTAAAAATTTGATACTTTTTTTAAGTTATGGAGATTTTAATGTTCTGGTTCGTATTGAGTTAATGGAAATAAAATGAATTACAGGAGAAATTAAGAGTTGCGAACGATGCAACGGACGGGGTGATTGCGTAGGCACGGTGGACGGTGGAGAGATCTGCAGGTAACTGCTGCTTGTAAATAAATTATGAGTGGAAGAAGAGATAAAATGTAATAACAATCTTTTATTCATTTCAGATGTCACTCTTTGTACATAGGAAAGAGATGCGAAATCAATGGCTTGAGTATGTCTACATTTATTCTAAAATATTTATTTTAATACGTTCGTTGTTATATAATTTCAACTATTACACGTAATATTTTATATTCTAGTCGTTTTCTTTAATAATTTTTTCGTTTCTTAAATGAAAAAAACTCCTCCGGTAATTTACGTTTATTTCTTGGATTCGTTATAAAATTTTTGGCGGATTCATTAGAATTCTTAATTTATTAAAAATAAATCAAAAATAAAACCGAAACGAACTTTAAAATATTTTATATATTATTTCACTTAACAATTTTCTAAATTACGTTATATTCCAGACTCGGATAATTTATTTTTATTATATTACTTTCCCCCCGAAAAGAAAAGAAATTTATTCTTGACGATTTTTGAACGAGCGAGTGTCGTCACTGCTTAATGCAATTTAGAAACATTGATACATAGTTTAAATTTTACAATAAATTCCGAACGTAATCTACATTAAGGACTCGACTCTTAGCGACTTAAATTATTTATTTACGGGAAAATATTTCCCCCGAGAGATTAAAAGAATTATCTAGAAAATAAAAAATGAAACTGTTTACTCCGCAGTAAAAACTGTTAAAGGAAAGATAACGAAATGGTCGATCGTTTCTCGAGAGTTAGTTCCTGCAAATGAAGAAAATTCATTTTTAATAAATGAAAGTCAATAAAAGTAAAGCATAAATAAATAGGCAAGAAGCTGGAGATTTACTCCCAGCCCGGAAAAAAATTTACGGACCGTGGGAGTTCCTACTCCTGTCAATTAATTCCTATTTTTACTAACAGAAAATAAAATTTTCAAGTCAGCGCTTTATTAATTAATTAGTCAATATATCTGGAGGGTCGACATAGATAAATATATTTTTATATCAACTATTATTATAGGCTAAATCTTTAAATTCAATAAATAAAGCACAATTTTTAAATTTAATACAGATCAAAATTTCGAAAAGTACATCATCTATTTGATGTTTTATCAACTTCCTATTTATAATTTATCCTTATTCTGTATCGGCGTAGAAAGGATCTTTCAATGAAATCTAATTTCGAAAGGAACAGACAAACTAAGAAGCTTGTCAACTTGTGTTACACACTATTAACCATTTTAATATATATTACGATTTGATTTTAATTTTGACTATTTATGATTCACGCCTATAAATGGCTGCTCGTTATAGTCGTTTTTTTTCTTTAGTTCTAGCCATAGCCATACCCATAGCGGGTGCTATCGTTTTCTTCGCTGTGTGTTGCGCTTTCTGTTGTTGTAAAAAGAAACGTCGTACGCCCAAAGATAATTCAAACGTGGTCTTCCGCGGCATCGCTCTTCGAGGACCTCTGACGGGCACAATCGACAGGAAAGCCATCATCCCCCCCGACACGTCTAGCGAAAGTAGCGGAGAACACCATTCTAAAAAACACGGATACGACGGGTTTATAGTAAGTGCGGTAATTTTTTACCTTTTTTTCTACCTTTGTCAGAGTTTATATATGTTATGGCGGTTTAAAAGCATTTTCACGTAGGTAAAAAATTACTTATGTCAAAATGCTTTTTATTTCTATTTTTATAATAATTTATTTTAGAATAGAAAACACTAGTAGAAAAAAACGGATAGAATTTAAATAGTTAAATTTATATGTTTATACACGGTGATTTTTTTTAAATAGGAAACCAGCGATTTAACGACAAAAAAGAGCAGCAAACGAAGCGATTTGAGTTTAGATCGCAGTCTATCAACGGGTTACGCCATGCCAGCCGTGGCCATTCCACGTGCCAAGTCTCAGCACCCACCAGGACAACCCAAAAAAATGAACTATACCGTGTACAGAGGACAAGTATACGTGTGGTAAAGTCCAGTATGTACAAATGAAACTACAAATCAATACCGATATCGCCTCGAGACGCTTTACGGGTTCGTCCCGGGACTTAAAGCGTCTGTTGCGAAAACGTCTTATTTGTGTGAGTCTAACCAAACTCGGACTAACCCGTTTAGCCCCCAACGTGTCAACTTTAGTCCTGATTGTGACAGGACTTAACCAATCGTACCGAGACGAAATCCTTCCGAGGATCGAGACGTTTTAAAAAGTTCGTTGTTTACAGTCGAGACGAATTGTGTAATATTATAATGAGAGTTGTAATTTCTATTAAAGATCATCTAACCGTATTCTCTTTTTATTTGTATCGATTATATTTTTCTTTGTGCTCAATAAAGGTACTTTGTTGACCCAGCCGCTTGTTAATTAATGTATTATGATTTTTCATATGTATATAGGCCTATATATAACCTATACAGAGCCGGCCCTACCATAGGGCGAACAGAGCATCCGCTCCAGGCGCTAAGTTTTAGGTGGCGCCTCAGTGTTAAAGAAAAGTAAAGGGTATAAATTAGGGGCCACCAAAGGGGCGCCATAATAGGATCTCGCTCCATCCTTAAACTTGCCTCGGGCCGGCACTGAACCTATATATATGAAAAATCATCTTTTAAAAATTACGAATTTTATTATATATCGATCACGGTTGTTATAACGGCACTATAATAAATTCAAAAGCATTGACTGGCGCACAAAAATAAAATAAAAAATGACTTTAGAAAGTTTTAAAAAGAAGATTAAACTTTCTCGAGAGTTGTAATTCCATCAAATGTTACAATATTATGTCTTTGACAAGAATAACAAAAAAATTCGCACGAAATGATAAATTCAATCATTGAATGAAACGTCTGAAATTTTTACTACTTTTTATTCCGAATCGAGCAAAAGATTCAATCATTTTTATCAAATACTTCGTTAGGTAGCGTATGATACAATTATAAAAAAAAAATGTCTTTCTGCAACTCGTAAAGGAAATTTTCTAACGTTTAGAAAATAATAATTCCCATTTAATAAAAACTAAAAAACAAAAATAAACAGAATATCATTGAAAAGCATTGGGCTACGATACTAAAATACTACATTAATGGATATTATTGTATTAGAGAAAGTGTTCTATATAAAAGCTCGTGGACAGTTATAGTATTTCCTTATTAAATATTAATAGATATTTCGTATCAATACAAAGAGCTAACAAGATGCTATTGTTTGTTACTGATAGTTATCATTAATAGCTTAGACAGATGATACTTTAACAACAGATGTTATATCAGATAACAGAATACATTAACAGGTGAAAGTGGTAACATAGTATTATAAAATGTATGAAACGTAACAGTTGAAATTAAGAACAAAGTTTCTTTATTACGAATTTGTTAGTACATATTTGAGATTATTTATAAGATACTTATACCATATTAAATAGAACATCTGTCCAGTTAAAAATTACTTATTTATTTTTTGAGTCACTACGAAGTAAAAAGAAAATAATCGAATTTCCTTTCTTCTCTGTTCTCTTCGGAAATATTTTATCCTCGAAATACGGACAACGTTTATAGAAATTTTTGTTTTCTTAATATTATTATTTTCTTTTTTTAAGTTATATTATTATGTAGAATGGAAAACGGGACTTCTGCCGCTGGTGGATGTTCATTTATGGAACAGGAACGGTTATTTGCTAATAGAAAGGAAAGTTACATTATTACCACTCGTTTGCATGTTATTTTCTTATTTAATTGTTGGAGATTAAATTAATTCTCGTAAACTCTCATTATACTACAGATGAATAGATATACATTAACGTACCTTAGTACCTCTCTTAATTATTTCTATTATCTCTGTGTGTACTTTTGTTATTGTTCTTAAATAAGGGATTTAAACAGTTTAATTAATTAATGTGTATATTTAAAAGCTATTTAATGGTTAACAAATGCAAGGCTTCGATATATTCGAGTTTCCTGATATTTTTCAATCTAAACGGTTATAACGTGCCAATACGTCAAGCATAAATTATAAATAATATAAATTATAAACGTGTGATCGGATTAACGGAGATAATTCTACAAATTAAAGCATTTATTATTTAATAATAATCAGGATTTCGATATTAGAGTTTAACAAGGATAAATGTTTAAGTCATCAGCTCTAAGCCCTAATATCAATTGGTGTATATACGTTTGACGTAAACTTACTATTAGGATGAGAGTGAAGAAAGCATTCCTGGACACAATAGACTCAAAGAACTAAAATCACTCAGAATACTATATTCAAAAGTGACTGAATTTTCATATTGGCCACTCGAAACAAGGCGGACTGCAGTGTTTCCACACCCGATATCTACTGTATTTTTTCCTTTAATAGAATATAAATAAATATCTGAGTAATAATAAAGAATAATTTTTCTCGAATATTTATAAGAATACAAACTTGGAAATGAATCCAATCCACAGAAATCCTCAGCGACAGACATCAATCCGGGATCCAAACCATCTCCACCTCTAATCTCCACATAATCGGCCATTCCACGTTTTTTACACTTAAACAGATAAAAATAAAAATATGCAAATATATATATTTTTAATTATCATATATAAATGTGGATAATACGCACTTTGTGTAAAGTCCCCGTCTCCACATCCATATATCTTCCATGCATCGTATATCTCTGGTTGCCTACGTTTGTCGATAAAATCTGAATGGTTTCGGGATATATAATTGATATACTGCAGTTAGCAGGACGTCCGTGATTTCTTAACGTATAAACTCCCGCGGGAGAATATAAAACGGCATTACAAGCTGGAAAAAGTTTACTTATTTAATTTATTATTTTAATTTATAAATTGATTTAAAACTATTAATTAACTACATAAAACATAAATTTGATTAATTATATTCATATAAAAATCATTAGCGATAAAAAATATATGTATAGAAAATAAGATCAAAGGACAATTAGAGATTAAGAGTTCGAGTCAGGACTGATATTATGTACTTTGTAAATGATAAACGAGGAAGTCAACAAAGTAAATCTTTGACTATATCATTTGTTAGGATTTAACAGAAGATTGCGAGTAGATAGAATACTTCATTGCCAACTCGCTAGTTATTTCTGTTGGATTATTTTCTACTCTTAATTGATGTAACTAAATTCTTCCAAACTTTAGTAGTATTTGTTTAAAAAATAAAACAAATAAATCGACATTGTATAAGTAGAAATAGAATTAGAACATCCTTTGCTGTCTACAGTTACGCAGTTAAGAAACAGCGCATTATTTGTAATTATAAATCTGCACATTAATAACAGCGTTAATTTATACTTACGTTTAGGATTATCGAGGAATCTAACGGCGACGGAAAACCCGTCACCAGAAATAGGCACTCTAAATTCCAAAAGACCTACATTCTGTGACATTTTGAAGACTTTGTGAGGCTTTTTAATACCGCAGAAATTATGATATCGTCTCTCTAAAGATTTTTGATGATCTGCTAATCCGGGGAAAAATTGGCCACTTAATTCCCAGCCATCCATTACCTAAATAAAATAAAGTAATAATTAATACAGCTTCTAAACATTTACATATAAAAATATGATTACTTACAGTTAAAAGTCCCTCCTTGGAACAAGATATGTCAAAGTTTTCGAACTCGAACTCCACTATATATTCTGGTTCTGTTATTATGTATAATCCACAAACTTGTTGACTACCTGGCGACATAAATGTGTAAGTTCCTTCTTGGGATCTCATAAATATGCAATCTGTGAAATAATATTAAATTTACATCATCCCATGAGTAATATTTCCACAACAACAACAAAGAATAGAAAGTAAAATTACATAAAAATTTTTGTTCGATTGTTTGATATTTCAATAACTTATTTTTACTGTACTTCAAATTATACAAAATTATTTTTAATTTGATTTATTTTAATTCTTATTTGTTTACTGAGTTTTAATCCATTAACAAAAGCTTCAAGATTTACAATCCAAAGCTCTTCATTTTACATTCGTCATTTCTCCTTTTGATGAAAAGAAAATCATTTTATATCCTGTGCAATTTTAACTAATCCATCTAAAGGATTACTTCAGGATTTCAGTATTGGAAATCGTACCATCAATAAAATGTGTTGTATTTCTGAATAAAAGACTTTTAAACTTATCTAGCGATGCATTTAAAAAACATTTCCAAATAAGATATTTAAAAAAATTCTTTCACTTAAAGATTCGGACGGCATTTCGACTTTTAAATCTTGAAAAAAAAACTATTTAAATAAATTTAGATAAAATATTAATTATTTTACTAAGTTTAAAATTAAATTGATTTTTCTTGATTCAAAAGTAACATTTCCAAATGCATTTTTTTCAATCGCGACAAAATGATTTTTACTTAGTCTTGAAACGGGAAAGCTTTTAGTTAGACAATTGGAGTAGAAATGTTTTTCCCTCTTCAGAAAATGGCGCTTTAGTGAGCGGTCTTGCTTTTAAATAAATATATAGAAATATCTAGAGAAATAGATTTTTCTCTTTTTGCGTCTTTATATCAATTAATCTTTACGTTGACTTTAATGTACAGTACATATATATACGAATAAATTTATGCAGTCAAACATGATAATTTATTCACAGAATTTGTCCTTAATCACGACTTGTCGTTTTATTTTTTCGTGAAAAGGTAGAGAATCTAATTTAGAATTTGAAGAAAGAGAAAAATATATTATAAAACAATTTTAACGAAAAATAAATATTTTCTGGAATTCGCACTCAAAAAAACGTGTTTTGTTCTGATAAATCCGAATTCATTTACGTTTTAATTTAATTTTGAGATTTTTTCTATATTTTTAAACGTTTTATTAATAATTTTATTATTATTGAAGAAAAAAATTTCAAACATTCAAACTTGACTGTTTCAAAATTCAGCCTGTTATATTGTAATTTACTAAAATTCTATATCAATATTATCTAAAATTCAGAAAATGTAGCATATATAAACTAGCAATATACACACTATATCTGATAAACGAGATATTATTTATGATTTTGAAAATAAATTCTTTGGTTTATTTAATTTTACAAAAAATAATAATGAAGTTTTAATTGTAACTTTTTGTTGAAAAAGTAAGGATAGAGATGTCACTCAACGTCAGAGATTTATATCGGTTAATAAATAGTTTATACTTAAATTTAAGATTTTTAAAATGATATTACTTTCACCTTGTAATATAAAGAATGTTGTTGTCTTGCTACAAATCTATAGAACTTTTATAGTATTCTTTCAGGAAATATATTTTAACCGATTATGGCTTTATGTTTGATCTTCGATGACAATCGGATTCTATTGTAGAATACTTTACTACCGTAGTGTTTATTTCAATTTCGTATTGGTGTTACGAGGGGCTTTCGTATTATTTATCATTGACTGGTAGCATTTATTTTTTTTTTATCCTATGTTTTTCCACAACAAATTCATGTATAATGCATCAGTTTTCTCATTGGATCGTCAAATAGAAACTTGATATATCTTTAGTAATCCAATTTCTCAACATCTGAACTTATATAACAAATTATCTTAAAATAATCTATCATATTAAAGATAATATTACTTCATTTTCATTAAAATTATTACATATATATATAAATTTATAAATTTTATTCTATAGATATTTGTGAATATTGTTAAGAAAAAAGTTGATACTGTCGATGGAGACGAAACTAGAGTTTTTGGAGGAAAAAATTTACTCAGTAACTTTGAAAAGGAAACAAATTAGAATTATTTTGCTTACAAAACATGCAGCGTTACCTTCGAAAGTAGTCACACTAATGATGTATAGCGGCAGAATCAACTGCTATTCATTAAAAACGAATAGGCCTACTTCCGCTTTATATATAAACGAAATTAGATTTGAAACTGCAATAAATTTTTCTTTTTAATCCTCCAAACTTTATTTATTTTTCTTTCAATTTAAAGTTTTAAGAGCTTTTAATTTCATTTAAGTTTAAAACTAGGAGAAACGAAAAATAATGTAGAACGAACAATTATTTATTGTTACATCGTCACACTGCCGGGCAGCAATTTCTAATACTAGTTTTAATTAATGTATTTCATTTAAAATATGTGCTCTCCATCTCAAATTAGTAGTGGCCTGCCCCTGTACAGTACATTATACTTTTTCTTTACACAGCCGGTCAGATATTTAACACCTTTCAGGGGAAAATTTTTGAATTGAAATAACATGACTTTCGTTTTTCATTGGAAGGTCCTCTTGCTCCTAAGGTTTCCTTATCTGGTCTCGCCTTTCATCTATCGAGATTAAGAAAAGACAAACAGACGGACGACAGTGGAAATTTATAAGTCTACAATTTTTTCAAATTAAAGCTCCCACTCCCAAAAATTATAAAATACCATATATTCAGCTACGCAAATCATAGCTGAGTAAATTATCGTTGGTATAATTACAATAATTATTGTCTGTAGTTCCTAAGTTAATTTATTTAAAATTTCTTGATAATATATAAATTTTTAATATATAAATTAAATTTAATACTTGCAAATGAAGCTAAAGATATGAAAATAAAATTTGCAAAACGAAGATTTTTTTTAAATATTAACGTAAGAACGACGCTAAATTTTATCTCTGTTATAAACTATTTTCCAATTACTGTATATAATATCAATAATGATTTCTTATTTCCTAGATCAATAGCAGGCTATAATAAAATAATAATCTAATTTTATGTTCTTGGAGTGTTATATAGTTAGTCGTGAACGATAAAATGAATTTTTTATAACTGAATAAAACCCCTAAGGAGAACTGTTTACCATTCGAGTATGCGACTAAAGAGAGAAAGTCTATAAAAAAAAAGTAAAACAAAAAAAAATCATTGTGAAAATGTTTTCCTGGATGAATATGGACATGTTTCTAGCTATAACACTAAGTTAAAAACAATCTTAAATTTATAGAACAATTTCATCAAAGAAAAATCAAATCTGCTATTGAATGTCTATTTCTGAAACTTAACTACAATAAAACTTCGTTAAGTCGTAGTTTACGGCAGGGATGAGCAACCGCGGCCTTCGGGACGCATGCAGTCCGCATTAATACTTTTTGCGCCCGTGTCGCATAAAATATGAATATCAATATATCAATTTCCCAGCTTAAGAAAGTATGCAGCAAAAATTCAAACGTTATTTTCTACAACTTATGTATATGAATAGTTTTTCTCACAACGAATTTAGTAAAAATTAAAACAAGAAACTGGCTAACAGACTCACATCGAAACTAATTTAAAATCAGCAGTGACTAATATTTAACCAAAAATTCAATATACAGTATTACGTTTACATCAATTCTAGAAGCGAAATTAAATATAGGGGAGATCGGGGCAAGATCGGCATGTTAAGCTTTACTTAAATTTTGTGTAATAAATACTGCTGTAAACTGAAAAAAAAGCTTTGCATATTGTCTATTGGAATGTTACCTTACTATAGAACTGGTTAAAATCAGTTTGGAAATAAAAATAATTAAAATAATTACAACTTTACAAGAAGAGAGAAATTGACGAAGTTGCCCCGGGTATAGGGGCAAGATCGGCAACTTCTCTCTTTTTGTAAAGTTGTAATTATTTTAATTATTTTTATTAAAGTTGCCCCTGGTATAGGGGCAACAGTAATGGGGCAAGATAGGCACGTATATAAAATTATGTTATTAACAATGTATAAGTTGGAATTCACTATTAAAACAAAGAAATACAAATCCAACACCCATTTAATATTATTACAACGAAATGCAAGTTCAAAGACATATATACATGAATAACAAATGCAAACATGTTTTCATTTATCATCTGTTTGATTTTTATCCTTTGCTTCTAATGTGGCTTTATGTTGCCGATCTTACCCCGCTAGTCATGATTTCGAAACATTAAGTACAACCCTGAGAACAGAATGCCAAGCCACGATCTGGCCACGTGAATAAGTTGAAGTTACATCCTTCTAACAGGAAAAGTAACTTTCGTTATCATGGAATTATAACAAAACCTGCCAATTCAATATAAATGGAAAAAAAATATTATATGGAATTGAACGAAAATGAAAATTTGCTTGATAATTCAACTACGCTTGTTGGAGAACAATAAAAACACTACACTCAACAAGCCACCAATAAAACTCAACTGCCTAACCTATAACCAAAGTCTCCTTTTAATTTGTTTTTTAAAAAAAGCGCTTGACAAACTTGCCCCGCATGCCGAAGTTGCCCCGATCTCCCCTACTTATGATAATTTATAATTATACATAAATAAATAATTATTATTTACGGCATTTTTTCTCTTGTGTGCGGCCCGCGTAAGTTCAAAAGTTTTGAAATGCGGCCCTTGCAGAAAAAAAGGTTGCCCATCCCTGGTTTACGGGGTAAAATATATATCGACTTCGAGTTTAATATCCAATTTTCTCAAATTTTTCTATGACAGTAACATTTCTTTTTAACGTTTCTCAAGAATCTGTTCATAGAATGAACAGATTCTTTAATTTTGTATACAGTTTATATAAATTTGTATACAGTTTATGACTCTTTTGAGTACGTTGTCAAAGGTGCCTTCTGGGTCCAAATCAGATCACTGGTAACGTACTGTAACATTAAAAGGATGCTGACGTCAGGTTGTATCTCTATATACTGTGCCCGGAACGTGTAGACAGCTTCGAGTTAACGCAGTTCGAATTAACGAGGTTTTACTGTATCCCGTTTTCTACAGAAATACTGTG